ACATTATATTAAACAGTAGAGAGACTGCAAGGCTAAAGAAAGTCAAACACGAAATCATCAATTCTAAAAACCTTATGTTCTTCCTTAAGCTTAGTGTATTGGTATGTCTTCTTAAAGATAAAAGTCTAGATGATTTATTATTTAAATTGAAATTCATTCTTACGCTGTTATGATGTTATCAGTTATCAAATTATTGATAGTGAAATGTTACGATTTCATTGCATGTTGTACATTTTTTCATTAATATCAGATGGTTTAAATTTATGCAAACCAAACAATTTCTACTTCATCAATAATTAGAGGATAAATGGGTAGATTCTGTCATTGGTTTTGAACATTTTTTAAATGTAGTCCGTCTTAGCCAATGGACTAATTTGCCGTAAGCCACATCAGCAAGATGCGAAATGAAGAAGTCCAAATAATCAGTGTCAGTCATAGTAATAATATGAGCATCAGCCTCATAGTTGACCAAAGGACAAAAAAAGACAATAAGTTCTATTCTAAAGCATCTAGTTAATACTGGTCATAGCATCAACACAAAGTTGACTATATGGTTCCATCGAACTTGACCCATGCTCTTAGAATTTGTCTTTTACTTATAACTGGAGCTATAGAAATATCAGTTAATAAACATAATGTTTGTGTTCAGCCTCTTAGTTTACTAAGGACATCGATTTGACCAAACCCACACTACTGATACTTTTCTTACATGTGTATTATTACGTAATCTACCCCGATAAATTGATAATCAAATTTTGTTCGCACTCGTCTCATTAATTACTCACTATTATTTTGCAAGCAACACTATACATTCATATTCAGCTGCTTAAATTCAAAGTTACTCAATTACTTTCCTTCTTCTTACATAACTAGTTTAGATAAGCAGCCGATTACATAATTCTGTTTTAGGTTTAAATATGCACCCGTTGGATCATTATCTTTAGACACTGTTAAACTGAATACATGCCACTTCCTTAGCATTTACTTAACACTTAATTATAAAACCTACATATTACTATAGAACCAAGACGGGGAACTATTTGAGAAGAGATATTTCTTCACTCAACTTGTATTTTTGGCAAAGCATATAATCTAAAAAATGAAGACAAAACAGCCATTGGGATTAGTTCCCGATCATACTACCTAAGGATTTTAGTTGTAAATTACCATTATATGGGTCTGGATCTACCGAAAAAGCTAAGTCTAACAACCGATTACCTAGTGGACTAACAGTATGTTTTTGTCAGGTGATTTCTTGAGACCGTGTCTAGTAATTCCTTGGTAAAAGCAACAAAATCTATGACGATGCTCTTTTAAAAGAATAAGAAAGGAATATTTGAAATAATAAATAACCTTCATTCTTTCGAAGTAATATTTAATGTCAGACTCGATTGCGTACTTATAAAAGTAAATACTCCTCGAATTTCCTTATTTTGTTGTAGGAAAATTAAAATATTATTGTTAAAGTGACGTATAGTCGAGTTTCTGATATGAACTTACACTTTTCCAGGATTTTTCATGAAACTAATTTATTGTCTCAATAATATTATTTGGTAAAACACTAGATAAGGTGTAGAATAGGAACAATACATCACTGACGACTTTCGGTCGCAAAAATACGGCATGCTAAGTGAAGTAACATATCACAGTTATCATCAATAAGTTGTGGTTTTTTGTTGAAATTCGAACCTGGAACATTAAGGAAGCCCAGATTGTCCATAAAATTCTGATCCCTATAGTTTCGGGTTAATGTTAAGCTTACTTGGGAAGCTATATGAGAGTGAATTCGATAAGATTTTGTCGAATAAGCTAAGAGAATATCCATCAGTGAAGATTTTCGAGGCAATTCCGATTACCACTGGGCTATCCGGGCCACGACCGACCTCCTATAGGACTGAGAAGTAATCACACGTGACATTGATCACCACCCAGTGATCAATCAATTGTGAGTTAATGATAGTGTTATACAAGTCCGAAAATGTTTCATTATACCATAAAACTAATGGATTGGGGAGAGTCAGACTTTTAGCAATGCTAATTAATACATTAACTAGCTGAATGATGCAGTGATAAAATTCATAAAACAGTCCAACAAACAACTACAGACTATCCACTAAATTGTAGTTCTCAGTATCAGATTGTGCTGGAATTTATATCTGACTCATTCTCCTCCTAATTCATAATCCTCAGAGTCCTTTATCCTTAACACTTTTTCAGGCACTGTCATCTTCCTAATGACTTATCTTCTAGCTTGTTAATTAGCTAATTCGTTTAAGGGACAAATTAGACACATTTGAATACACTAGCTTTATTGCTGTTCTATGGGATTAGGAAACCACTCAATTAAGAACTAGTTTTCTGTTTCGCAGATTAATTGTAGATGAGGCAACAGGATGGCAGACTCATCTACCGTTTACTGTTTCGGTCAGTCATACACAATATACACCCCGGCACATGTCTACACTAGTTCAAGTTGCCACACTATATTAGCACAGAGATAAAATTATTAAGACAAACACAATAGTTGAAAGATAAGGCTTAGACAATGTGGTTCGAGAAAGCATGTAATCAGAGATAAAAATAAAAGTATCAGTTAAGTTTTGAGACCAAGGATCTACGGGGAAACAAAGAGTGGGTGTAACTGTTCATCACAATCGATGCTGAAGTACATCACCCAAAGTCTCCAAACATCGGTTACGACAGCGGCGATGACGTCAACCGATTAGTATAAGGCTACTCATATGGCTCTACGTAAAAGTTAACAACTTCATTGAACACTGCCATGTCTTAATTATTTTGGTCGCCTTTATCTTTCTTCCGATCATCAAAAAGGTACAAATACTTATAGACAATTGTCTACGCAAAATACTTAATGTCCTTTGACCAGATACCATCAGGAACAACCTACTGTGGTAAAGAACAAATAAGCTTCCAGATAACGGAGAAATTAGGCCAAGACGCTGGGATGGACAGGGCATACATCGCGGAAATCATCTGACTGCATCACGAGGAAAGCAATAACTTGAAATCCCGAAGGGGAACGGAAAAGAGGAAGACCAACAAAAACATTACGTCGGGGATCGGAAGCAAGTGTCAAGAGAATAAATAGCAGCCGGGGATAATTGCCCAGGACAGAGCTCGATGGAGAATCCTGGTGGGCGGCCTATGCTCTTCTACGAGGGGTAACAAGAGAGTAACCAGCTCCTACATCATGTAGCATCGCGCATCGTGGTAGTCGGTAGATGTGCATAGGTAATCCATGTTCCGAATACCTTAGTCGATGAAGATTTACTACTTCGCCGAGAGATTTCTCACTTTTACCTAATATCTTGCGCCTAACCTCAGAATTGCTAACTCAATGGTCTCAACACATACGAACAATGCTTCTTCAGTCAGTCAGTCAGTAACAACGTAGAACTTCGTACGTACGTACATCAGCACAGAGATGCAGTTGTCGATTCAAATCCCGTAGTGGTAGAGGTAATAAGAGTATAAGCAATAATCGGGAAGATTAGGGTTTGGAGATGTTATTTAAAGAGTATAATACAGTGAAATAAATTTAGAAAGAGGAAAAAAGGGACATGAAGAATTCAGAAGATTAGAATTTGGGAGAACACAGAGAGTGAATGCACCTGCGCCATTGCAAACGATTTTGAGCCATGTCATTCAGGATCTTCAACCATCGGTTGCTATCATCTCGCGGTCCCCAACCACGTAGTCTACACCTACCAACATGACTCAGTTCACTTGTCAGTGACTTCATGGATTTGTGCCATGTTTTGGTTTGGCCGCCCCTAGCTTTCTTCCAAGCTACTCCTATACCACTGAACATCGCACGTCGAGGCAGTCGGTCGTTGGGCATACGTAACACGTGTCCCAGCCATCTCAACTGATGAAGTTTCACTACTTCATCAATTGATTTGCCATCCTTACCTAGTACCCGTTTCCTAACAACTGTGTTACTTACTCGGTGGTCCCAAGATATACGAGCAATGTTTCAAAGACACCTATGATCAAATACTAGTAACCTACGAATATCCTCTACTCTTACCGGCCATGTTTCACTGCCATAAAGTAGGACGGAACGAACTGCTGCGCAGTAAACACGTCCTTTGATTGATAGACGGATATCTCGCCTACGCCATAAATGACGCAAGTTGGCAAAAGCTAGTCGAGCCTTCTGTATCCGTGCTGAGATTTCGTCACACACCAGACCACAAGGGCTGATGAGACTTCCAAGACAATGCTTCTTAGGGATTTATGACCGAATAATCGTAACCTACGAACATCTATTTTTGAAGGTTACATTTCACAGCTATAAAGTATAACACAGTAAACTGCTTTAGGGTACACTTGTCCTGTGGTTGGTAGACGGACATCTCCCCTGTCACAAGTCCATCAAGCTTTCTGAATGTCCTGTAATCTAAAAAAAATGAAGACAAAACAGCCATTGGGATTAGTTCCCAATCATACTACCTAAGGATTTTAGTTGTAAATTACCATCTCATCAGACACCAAAACACAACAACTGTTCGGACATCCACGATACTTGTATTGCGTATTCCTTGTAATTGGTGGTGAGAGCAATACTGGAGCAACATTTTGCACTTAGATGAAGAGAAACGCATCAAAAATATGCCTACATTGTTGCTCAAGACGATCAGAAGACTCTACCTTCTTTCAGAGCCTTCATCAAATAGAAATGTCATCTATCTCACTAACACCCGAAAATATACCTATTTCACTAATAATGATGAGGCGTTGTCCACTATTACCTGACACTACCAGACTTTCTATTTCTTTTGCCTTCGCTGCCTAGTACTGGTTAGTCTATGTTTGAAGTTACCGTAGCTCGTCATCCTGTTCGAATTTTGACTACGTGAGTTCGCGGTCCCTGAAACCGACAAACATTCCCTAACCTGTTGGTTTAGGTCACCGGCAGGTTGTACTGCTATTTTTACACCTATTAATTGTTTGTGATAAACAAGGCTTCAGTAAATATCCGTGTCATATTATCAAGATATTTTATTGCGAAAATTATTTATACGAAAGATCACAAATATTTGATTAATTTTTGTTAAGAATAATGCTTATCTTCAGTAGAAGAAACCACAGCTTAATATCGATAAGATAAAACCATTCTTTCTCATCTTGGTAACACGTTCCAACCCAGAGTATAAGAACACTGAGCATCAACTAAGTAGTAAAAGTTTCATTTTTACGCTGAAACATGAGGTTGAAAGAAACGGTTTTATACTCGTTTTTATTATAAATGAGCCAAAGCCACAAAACTTTAGCATTAACATAGAACAAACAATGAACAGAAAACAATGGAAATAATACTTGATCACAGTAAAATGGAAAATCTTGAGTTCACTCAGGTATGCATGAATATGGGCTAATAAATTATTCCATTTATGATATTAGTATTCGGGGTGCTGTATTTAACTGAAGAGAAATAATAGTGGGAGCTGATATTAATATTCAGACATGCCTCTGCCGTGTGATGCGAAGCCTCCACCGACTGGCCTAACCAGACGCATTTGAAGATGATTTTTGAAGTGACAAGGAGGGTTACATGAAAAACGTACAGGTGAACCTGTACCAGGGAAGCCAAGGCCTGAAGAAAATTGCGAAACCGTAGGTACTTGACGTGGATAATCGTTGGAAGGGTGTTCTTTTAGGCTGAATTTGTACTTACTGGAACCTGAAGATAGAGGGTTATACTTTGAACAAGTTGCAATTTCTATGACATCGCAATTTTTATCTGTCGGATGGACAACTTCATGAATCTTAGGTCCCATAAAATTAGGAGAGAACGTCGAATTAATGTAAGCAAATCCAGCAGGTTGACCGTTAGAATTCAACATGCGGACTGTCTTTATCTGAAATCCATTACTTTCATTATTGAGACACTTTTCCTTGAATTCCATTATGCGGCGTAATTGGTGTTCCAAGTGTTTTGTCGCCAAGTTGGTTCGTGATAACTGAGTTCTCAGAGCCTAAAATGAAATTCGTTAAATACAAAGAAAGTAACGAAAATCATTACAAAGAAAACTGATCCACAAGAAAATGTACACTGACCGTGGTTTGAATCGTGTATGGAAATGTGGGCTTCATTGATAAAGCTTTTGAACTGAGTTATATTACCTTGACAAAAAACACAAAAGTGTAGATATATCCATACTTCATCTTGCGTTAAATTCTGAATATCACAATATTTTAGTCTTATTATTAGTATTTTTCGTCTAAAACTTACCACTTATTTTCGAATAATTTTATTTTCCATGATAATTGCCTACCAATTTGTTTAGGATTAGTGCCGTTTGGAAGAGATACGTAAAAATGGATGAGATAATCAACATACTTGTGTTCGACTCTCAGCTATTAAGTCTTGGGTTTGAACCCTGTTTCACTTCAGTTTGGAGCACCGTATTATTTATTTATTTGAACACATAAATATTGGTACAAGAGAGCGCCAATATATATGCGCCACACAAAACAATGAGAATTTGAAAAGAAAAAAAAAAGATAAGGAGCGTGAAAAAAAGGAACAATAACGAAGAGGTTGGTGTAAGGTAGTGTAGTAATAATAATAGTAATAATGAGGGAACGGAAAGGTACAATCAGAAGAAATCTTTCAGTTAAGAGAGACACAACCACTTTTTATAAGGAAAGTAAAAGAAGGTTACAGCAGGATCGCCACTGGCTTCTATTCTGAGCCATATCTGATAACGTCTCTAGCCACTGTGTTGCACCATCTCTCGGACCCAAGCCAGGGAGTCGTGAAGGACCAACACAAGCCAGTCCTTTGCAGCTTTCTTTCATACCCCGACACCATGTCATACACTGACCACCTCTCCGCTTCTTCCAACCAGTCCCAGAGTCGGCAAATAATGCACGACGTGGAATTCTCTGGGACGACATTCGTAGAACATGTCCAAGCCACCGAAGTCGGTGTTTCAAGATGGTGACACCAATTGAATTATCATCTCTGTGCCCGAACACACGATGCCGAACCTCTGCATTACTGACATGGTGTTGCCACTGAATGTCAGCAATCCTTCGGAGACAGCGATGATCGAACACAGAGAGTCGTCTAACGTCCTCAACTCGGAGAGGCCAGGTTTCACAAGCATAGAGCAAAACTGCTCTCACCGACGCGTTGTAGATCCGACCTTTTACAGCCAGACTAACATCACGAAGGCGCCAAAGGTGGCCCAGATTGGCATAAGCCGCTCTGGCTTTCACTATACGTGCATTGATCTCATCACTCACACCCCCACCAGCACTTATGCAGCTACCCAGATACACGAACTTCTCGACTACGTCTATCTGCTCACCATCCAGGGTGAGTACAGGATTAGAATCCTGCCAGTCTTGTAGAAGTACTTTGCACTTCGAAGGTGCAAAGCACATACCATACCTACGGACACTGATTGCCAACTGATTAAGTGCGGATTGCATGCCTTGGGCATTATCGCACAGTAAGACAATATCGTCCGCATACTCAAGGTCGAGAAGTCTTTCTCCAGGCAACAGATCCACACCACCATTACTTACATTCATCAGAGCTGTTTCCAGAATGTCATCGATGGCAAAGTTGAAGAGGAATGGTGAGATTGGGCAACCCTGCCTAACCCCACTGCTCGAATGGAACAATGGAGAGAGGTGGTTGTATGCCCTCACTCTGCCTGAGGTGTTTTTATATAGGGCTTTTAGGATGTTAATAAACTTCTCAGGCACACCCTTCTTCAATAGACAATCCCAGAGAACAGTCCTGTCCAACGAATCGAAGGCAGCCCTGATGTCAAGAAACACTACGATTGTTGGCCTTTGATAAGTATGGCGGTGTTCTAACATTTGGCGGAGGGTGAAGATATGATCAATACATCCTCGACCAGAACGAAACCCAGCCTGCTCCTCGCGAGTCAATCTTTCTCGGGTTTTGAACAACCTACGAAGTATGACGGAAGCCAATAGCTTGGACGCAATCGGAAGTAGACTTATCCCCCGATAGTTGTTACAGGAACGACGTGAACCCTTTTTAAAGATAGGGACAACTATCGACTCATTCCATGACGTTGGTACACTCTCTAGTTCCCAAACCTTTGTAAACAACGTCGTCAATTCCTTAGTCAAAAAGTCACCACCATCTTTAAAAAGAGCCGGAGGTAAGTCATCTGGGCCAGGTGATTTGTAACGCTTCAAGAGTTGGAGTTCCTTGCGGACTTCCTCCTCATTTGGTGGATCAGTCGTCACCGGCCATGGAGGGCAGGACAGTCTGACCGATGTTGCCGGAGCAGCAGGCCAGTTGAACTGCCCTTCGAAAAATTCTGCCCATCGTCCAAGACGTCGATGGATGTTAGTGATTGGCATCCCATCATCCTCGCAGATTGTTTCACTCACACCAGACTTCTTGCTGCCAGTGGCTCGGATGAGCTGGAAGAGCTTCCGGTAGTTACCAGATGCAGCTGCTGCTTCCAGCTCATTAGCACGCTCCGACCACCAGGCTTCTCGGTCCTTACGCAAGCTTTGCCCAATTTCCTTACGTAACATCCTTCGTTTATGGTCAAACTCACGGTCACCCGGAGTAGACCGACGGGCTTCAATGAGTTGTAAGGAACCAGAAGAAACCCAGTGCTTAAAGCGGGACGTTTCGCAAACCCACAACTGACTGTTCCCGCCATTTTCATGGCGTCATGCAATTGCAACCAATGCTCATCTATACTTTTCGGTGGAGTGGTAGCTAGCCTAGAGGCTAGCTCGGTTCGATACTTACTTGCAACAGAAGTTGCAACCAGCTTGCTAACATCAATCCGTTGATGGCGGTCACTTCGTTGTCCACTGAAAAGTAAGGCAAGATTGGCGCAGACCAAGGCATGGTCAGAGTCCAGATAGGTACTCCAAAAGGAGCGGCAGTCTTGTACACAACCACGCCAGCGGTAGCTGATCGCGATGTGATCAATCTGAGTCCAGGCTTGAGATGCAGAGGGAGGACGCCAGGTGGCACATCGGCGATGACTGTGCCGAAAGTTAGTGCTAGCCAGAAACAGGTTGTGGTCTGTGCAAAGTTGCAGTAGACGGTCCCCGTTATCTGACCTGCGACCAACGAGTCCCCATCGGCCACCTAAACGACTCTCTTCTGTGCCTAGACGCCCGACCTGAGCATTCAAGTCTCCGGCTAGTACTACAATATCTGTCGAACGCACTTTCTGGAGAAGAACAGATAACTGGTGGTAAAACTCATCCTTGATTGCATCCGGGCTGCAATCTGTCGGGGCATAGGCGGAGATGACGAAAAGACATCGTTTCTCACGCCGATTTCTTCTCACTTTGATGGAACTTTCTAATCTAACAGCACATAACCGACTGTTAATGGGGATCCAATCGACTAGTGCTGCCTCAGCTCTAGCGCTTAGTGCGACACCAACGCCAGCAAGACCAGACGAAGATGCCACAGGGTCCCCGGATAAGCGCACGTAAAACAAGCTTTTCGAAGCGACAGATGGAGATCGAATTTGTAGTACTTCGCCAGAGTCTTGAATACGGGTCTCGGATAGACAACAGACGTCGATATTAAGACTTTCCAAAGACATAGCCAGCCCTATCTGTTGTCCAACCTGCATAAGTGTGCGAACGTTGAAGGCAGCCAGTTTGAATGGTGCACGTGGTTTCAGAAAAACTGCTTCAGTACTCGTATTCGGTGGTAACATACAATTTTCAACCGGACAGTGACTCGAGAACGTTTAGATACAGTCGGATTTCCACCAAAGACGAGCCGCCGTATAAGTATAAAAGAGGGTGAATGTGGTAGATAATAACAATAATAATAGTAATAATAATAATTTGATTGTTATTCGAAGCGAGAAAAGTAATTTCCATAGATATAGAGAGTTCATTATTTGCATGTGGGCTGCGATACTGCCCGGTTGCCCGAACCGAAGCAGGTGGTTATCTTAGGGGACCACACCCCGAGCCTTTGATCTAGAGGTCTAACCCACAAGGCAGTGTAGCATCGTAAGGAGATGCAGTCGCATGGTAGCCGGTGACCAACGATTGGTTCATACGCCATTTGTTCCCTCAGGATACTGGAGCCCATGTGCACCCATTGGTTTGGGATCCGGTTAAAGCGCCGGACATTCGCTTTTCGTCCTCTCATTTTCGTAAACACCCCCGCCACGAGAAGGCAGTGAGTAGGACTTCCCTGGCAGAGGCTGTATACGCGTGACCGTGTGAGAGTATTTCGAGAGGGAGAGCGGACTCTCCTCACTCTCGGCCGTACCATCACTAGCCCTCACATTTACAATGTGGCTCATACACAAGTAACTGGCGAATGAATTAGTTCTTTTTTTCTTTATGCACTAACTCTTAGTAGCCTCTGTCTGGGAAGTCCTACTCACTGCCTTCTCGTACCACGGGTTTTGTTTACGAAATTGAGAGAACGAAAAGCGAATGTCCGGCGCTTTAACCGGATTCCAAACCAAATCACTGGTGCACATGGGCTCCGGTATTCTGAGGGAACAAATGGCGTATGAACCAATTTTTGGTCACCGGCTACCATGCGACTGCATCTCCTTACGATGCTACACTGCCTTGTGGGTTAGACTTTTAGGTCAAAGGCTCGAGGTGTGGCCCCCTAAGAAAACCGCCTGATTCGGTCTGGGCACCCGGGCAGTATCACAGCCCTCACACATATTGAATAAGATTTGTGTGGCGTATATGTATTTGGTGCCTCCTTGTACCAATATTTATGTGTTAAAAAAACAAACTTTCGTAGAACGAGGAAACATTTTAGCCTACCCTTCTTAACTATACCATATAAAATATATTTAAAAAAGTAAACCAGATTCATTTTACATAGAATAAGACTTTCCGTATTGTATTACACTTAGAAAAATTACTATCCATCTAACTTAACGACATTTTTGAAAAACAGTTAAATGGGGTACATGGCCTTATCATTTAGTACAGAAATTATTGTCTTATGTTGCTCGCTGTTATCAAAGTGCACATTTATCAACAGACAACAAAAACATTCAAATATGCGTAGTCGTGCGTAATTCCCCAATAAATAAAAACAAAATAAAATGATTTGTATGACTCGGATCCACAGCAAATAACCAATAACAGATTGTTACTTAATAAATAAGTCAGTATATGTAAAGCCACCAAAGAAAGAGTGTACAAGATAAATAAAATGCCAGCTCAGTACCCAATGAGTTCAAATGACATATAAAAAACAGGAAGCCTTCAACTCAAGAGCCATAAATCACTAAAAGACTCAATATTATGAGATCATGTCTCTTTATTACTAGACTTGAATTCAGCCTGATACATAAACGATACAAATAACACTAATTTGGATGCTGTAGACCAAGCACGCGTATCTGTTTGATACTTGCGCCTAAATGTCACCTGCGTTTTGCTAATTACGAAACTATCTGGATGCCAAGACATGGAGCCTATTTTGGAAGTTGGTCTATAAACTGTGCGAAAACAGACATAGATTACAAATAGCCTACCTGGATTTCAACGACCTCTTCCTTCACCTGGGTGGCTAAGTTTTCCACTTCGGACTGCTTTTTGCTAGCACATTTGCGTGCGTATTTTCGATTTTGCAGACGACGTCTCCGACTACGAAGTTCTTTGTGTTCCTCAATTGTTAAACGTTTTTTTTCTAGCAGCAATCGAAGATCAGCTGTCGTCATGTCCACTAACTCATCATCCGTTAAATTTAAACTCATAGTAGTTCTTGAACAATGGAAATAATCAGTAGTCAAGAAACAATGTATTAAGTGTAAACTGTATAGAACTATATATTTTTTAAGGCAGTAAGGACAAGTAAAATTCGATCCTTCACCACTTTTCGTTCAAAATTCAGTGTATCAATTGGAGAAATGACTCTTCATGCCGAGACTAAACTGAAGTCAGATTAGTTGATCCATCAGAATCTAGGATGTGGCAGATTCTAAATCTTGGGGTGCTTTCTGTCAGTACATTCTGTTTAGCTCAATCTCATATTTCCTTATCCTCTCATGAGTGGGAGCACAAAGCAAATTAAATGTCAGGTTTAATAGTTATAAGCGATGGCCACTAGTTGAATCATGTTGAATATCTAAAGGGGGTCTAGAGACCTACGTTCATTGAAAAATTATAGTTAAGTTCTCAAAAACTTTAGATACAATTGTTCATAATGAAATCACACCTGATAAACCGAAAACAAAGAGATTAAATTACGACAGAATACTGTATACACTTCAGTTACAATGCAGGAGTGAACTACAAGAATACTCACCAGATAAGACGTTAATTTAGGCGAAGACGTGAAAATTAGTTCTCGTATAAACATTCACAGAACTTGAAACGGTGGGTCATTATGAGGTGGTTAGTTGTTGACCATACAACCACAAATCAACACATTAAGCCCCGATAAACATCATGACTAACTCAGAATAGACTGATTTAAAATGCCAGCTTTCGAATGAAAAATAATTTTCTAATTAAACTCGTAAATAAATCAGCTTCACAATCTTCATCTCGACAATAAGGTTTTCAGTATTATAACACAGTGCATATATTTATTTCTTTTGTATTTATAACCACGAACGATTTAATTTCTTCCGTGACAACTGTGCTGATAACAATAATATCAAGTAAAGATATCAACTAGTACTGGTTCGGATCTATTTTGCCCGAAAACATCCTCCTGATAACAAAACCTGTACTTTCAAGGCTAACAATTTTTCTTTACCTAATTCCCCCATACTATTTCTAACTTCGTTATCAATACTTACGATATAAACAAACTAACTTTATTACACGAAAATGACGAACGGATAACCTTGTCTTTTCAGAATACCCGCTCACATCTAATGCCTATGTGACAAGATAATGTAAATCAAAATGGTATTTTCCTGACTCAAGTTTCTTGATCTTAAGATAATGTTCCACATTAGCGAGATCTTGCGAATGTTAGCAGTTTGACCGCATGCTTTAGATAATCTCGTTGAACTTCTGTAATGCTGCTGCTAGACATCTGAAAACTTGAACACGAACTTGCAAAAATAGATTGATATTTTTAAGTTCAGTACGGTTCCGGATATTTGAAACTTTTCACTTGGTACTGTCTAGTATGGCATTTGTATCAACTAATGATTACTTCGTGCACGACTGCTCGCTTATTTTGAATTCTAAATATAGTATTTTCATTGGTGCTCATCTGATTCTAGTTGCTGTGAATTGTACCATTCCGGAAACTCCCAGTCAGCAAAATAATTCGAGTAATTCTAGTTGCCATATCTAGTCACTCGAATGCACTCATTCTAGTCAATGCGGTTGTGACGGTAAATAAATCCCAAAAATAAATAGCTCTGTACGTTTTCGACATTGGATACTGACCACATTAGTTTTAATGGACTCACCTAGTTGAGGGCGCTCGGTCATGCTTTCGCACCAGATCACGAGTGGAACCACATGATAGACTCAGGTATCATAAGACCGTCAAGCAGCCCATGGGCATCTCAGTTGCACATGGTCTCTAGAAAGGACAACAACGGCTGGGGTCCAACTGGTGATTATCGACGATTGAATGCAAAATCCATTCCCAACCGTTACCCGTTGCCTAACATTCACGGTTTGACGGCTACCTCGAAAGGGACAACTGTATTTTCGATAATCGACTTGGTTAAAACGGTTAAACAAATCCCTATGGCTACTGAAGATATTCCGAAAACCGCTATCATAGCTCCCTTCGGACTCAACGAATTTTTGCGAGTGCCTTCCCGTCTAAGAAACGCTGCCCAAACATTCCAAAGATTCAAAGACGACGTTTTTCGAGGTTTCAACTTCGTACATGCGTATGTCTTATAGCAAGTCCGGACAAAGAATCGCATCTCAAGCATCTGAATCTTGTTTTCGACCGACTACAAAAAACTGGCATTACTGTAAACATTCAGAAATGCCAGTTCGGGACTGACTCACTAAACTTTTTATGACACATTATAGATGCACAGGCCGTCCAAGCCCTTAGAACCAACACATTTTTGGAGCAAACAATGTAGTCGCAGACGCCTTGTCTCAAATAACTTCCTTGAACACTTCCCAAGGAATCGACCTTCTTAAACTTGCCCAGCTTCAAAAACAAGACACTGATCTTCAGCACGAGTTATCGTCAACAACCTTTAAACTGCGCGCTAAACAGATGGGAACAGGTGAGGAAACCTTACTATGTGAAACATCTACAAGTAGGGACCGCCCAATCGTGCCGAAACCTCATCGATGCAACGTCTTCAGTACGTTGCACAAACTTTTTCATCCAGGTGTTCGTGCGACCGTCAAACTTATAGGAGAACGATTTCGCTGACCTGGCATGAATGAAAACATGAGGGAGTGGGCACGCTACTGGTGAGCTGCCAAAAATCTAAGGTTATCAGACACAATAAATGTCTCTTAGGCTCATTTAGAACTTCCGGTGCTCGTTTCGACCATGTTCGTCTGGAGTTGGTAGGACCTTTACCAGATTCAAATGGATACTCTTATCTCTTAATCTGCGTAGACCGTTTCACTCAGTGGCCAGAAGCAGAACTTATCAAGGACATCACTGCTGAAACAGTGTCCCACACCTTCGTCGAACGATGGGTAGCAAACTTCGGCTGTCCTTCAACCATCACTACAGACCGCGGACGCCAGTTCGAACCCGAACTTTTCCGTTGTCTGACCGCACTATTAGAAATCACTCGCTTCCGAACGACCGCCTACCACCCACAAGCAAACGGGTTGGTAGAACGCTTTCACCGACAACAAAAAGCTTCACCATCAGCTGCAAACATTTATCAGTGGACTGACGTTCTTCCACTCGTCTTACTATGTATTCGCATTGTAGTGAAAGCTGGCATTGAATACACTGCGACTCCACTCGTTTATGGAACGAAACTTCGACTTCCAGAAGGATTCTTGGATCCCTCATCTTCTTCACTGAACATGGATCTAACCTCCTACACGAACAGGCTTACAAACGCAATGCGTCCAATTAAACCTGTTTCCACTCGACCGCAATCAACTGATGTGTTCGTTCAACCTGACTTACGATATAGTAGACACGTCCTCGTACGTCGAGACTCACATCGACAACCTCTCGAATCAGCATACTAAGGACCGTTCCACGTTGTTCAACGCGAACCCAAGTACTATATAGTCGATAAGAACGGAACCAACGATGGCATCAGCATCGATCGCCTCAAAGTAGCGTATTTAGCAGGAAATCCTATTCACGTCGATTTCCCCTCGGTACAATCACACGACACGACTCCTTCACTTATAATACCTCAACCGGCAGCCAACACGCACGATGGTACTTCGGCAATATCAGAAACTAAACTTAAAACAACGGGTTCTGGAAGAAGAGTAAGATTTCCGGGACATTTTAACGATTATTGCACGTAAGATACTAGTTGACATTTCATATCATCTGGATTTCTCTTTGCACTATGTGTAATAAAATAATCTGTTTTAATATGCTTATTTATTTTTATTTCGAAAAAAACCATGTTATAAGGACCCTTTTTTACGCTATTACGTGTGCATGAGTTTTTTTTCATTTTTTCGCCCTCTTAGTGTACATATGTACATGTACATGTGTATTTCATCATGCACATACATATTTTTTCTTTTCCAGGAATTCTAGAAAAGACGATAATAAGAGCGATGACGTTTACGAGGAACTGAAATTTTCATTGTACTTTTTCTTATTATACTCTATTGTACTTCATGGTCCCTTATAGTAAGGAAAGACGACCAAGCATTACAAATGGAAGCAACTTTTGATAAAGAAATGTGGGGGTGTACCTAGATCCTTGTTCTTCGGTGTGCAACGTTTCGGTGGCCTCATCGAGGTACATGACTGTGTCATGTACGATCCCTGTGTTTGGGTGACTTGGAGTAGACTATCGTATTGTAACTACCAGACCATTTCCTATTCTCTATTAGATTAGAGAAAAAATCTTTGGTGTTGGAAAAAAGTTCCCAGGTAGTCATCACAACATTGTCATATGCAGCCTTAATGTAAAAACCACAATCGATAGAAGTAAAACCGTAACACTTCGTAGAAACTATCGCAAGGTTGATTGGAATAACTTCCACAATTACCTAAGAAGCACTGATTGGAGAACTTTCTTTACCTCAAACAATACCGACACATTAACCAATATATTTTATCACAACATCAAAAGTATCATCAACAACATCGCACCTTTAGAATACTGTAAACCTACGTTCTCCAAAGATCTCTATATACCGGTCAGTACAAGAAGACGTCTTCAAAGACATTGTACTCGATTCCACAACTTAAATGACTTTTCCTCTTTAGTAACGATGACAGAAATACTTGTCCGAACAGAGGCAATAAGTAAACAAAAAGCAGTAGCACAGGAAAAACGTGCAGTTGAACTTAATAATAACTCCTCTGCACTCACCATACTACTCCAAAATAAACTTAAACGCTCTAAATCGAGAGGGAGTATATTCATTAAAGGCAAACAAGTATACGAAGATCCCAAACTTATCACAGAATTATTTAGTGAACATTTTTGTTTCTCACTAACTAACGAAAAACCATTTAATGATTCAGAACCAATCCCAGTAACTCCCTGTGAAATTACTAATGTAGAATTCAGTGTACAAAATATCTCCAAGGCAATCAGTACATTGAAACACTCCTACACTGATGGACCAGATGGTATTCCATCTAGCATGCTAAAACGTGGAGGTGATGATATGTGTGTTTTGCTTCTCAAACTATTCGCGATATCACTCTCTTCAGCGTGTTACCCTACTGCCTGGAAAACTACACATATCATTCCCAAAATTAAAACAGGACCTGAAGCAAACGTTGAAAATTACCGGCCTATAAACATAACTTCAGTGGTATCCAGAGTGATGGAAAAAGTAGTTAAGGCGGCTGTAGTCCAACATCTACTAACTAATAATCTCATCTCGACCTCCCAGCATGGATTTCTTAGGTCCAGATCATGCGATACATGCCTAGTAGACTACCTGAATGATATAACTCTGAAACGAGACAGCGGACTCCTTGTATCAGTCCTATTCCTAGACTTTAAGAAAGCCTTTGATAAGGTCCCACACAAAAGGCTACTCGTCAAACTAAAGTCCTTCGGAATACACAACCCACTGTACTCATGGTTTGCTTCGTTCTTAACAGAACGTAAACAGATGGTAAAGTACAATGACTGTCTCTCGTCCCCTAGACCAATCACCAGTGGAGTCATCCAGGGAAGCGTATTAGGTCCACTTTTGTTTCTTATGTATATAAACGATATATGTAACACCATAGAATTTGGGAAACCATACTTATATGCTGATGATCTCAAAATAGTATACAGCTATAAGCCTGAGACACTAAGCGAAAGTGTATCCCAGATCCAAAAGGACCTCAATAACTTAACTATATGGAGTGAAAAATGGCAATTACCATTTAACCTCAACAAGTGCGGGATCATGCACTTTGGAAAGCATCCCTATAAACCGCGACTTCACTTAAATGAATGTAGAGTCCAAACATTCGAATCAGTACACGATTTAGGAATTAATTACACAGGAAGCCTAAACTTTGAAGAACATGCCTCCTCTATTATTTCTAAATCTAGACGGCTAATTGGTTTTATAATGAAAAACTTTTTCACAACAGAGGGTAAACTTACTCTCTACAAAATATGTGTACGACCCCCCCTTGAATACTGCTCTTTTGTCTTCTCTAATATGAATATCGCAGACAAGATAAGAGTAGATGTTCAAAGACGTTTCACACGTCAACTACTAGGATGTAACTCGAATCTCGATTACACAGACAGATGTAAGCAT